TTTTAAGAGTTTAAGAGTTTTAGTCAAATGCTTTATAATATAGTATAGATAGTACATATAGTGAACTATTTATTTAGAAAACTATTTTGCAAATACGTATTGAAATATCGTAGTTTTGTCTTCATTGATTCTCTCTCTTATATAATAGTTATCGTATCCGTATAATGTGGTACGTTTTTATTTGATCCAACAAATATAAGACATGAATAAACACAATTTGACATCATTTAACAATTAAACAACGTTGAAACAGATTAAACTATAATATAGAGAGACAATCGAAATCAAATGTTTTTCTAACCAACTTAAAGGCACTTACTTATAGGCGAAAGATCGTGTAAAAAGAAGAATTAAGATGATAAACGTAAGAAGGGATCTGGATCCTTGATCATCTTTAGTCTCAAACTCCCCCATGAATCACGCTTGATACGAGGATTTTGGTGCATCTGGATGCATTTCATCTCGGTGACTCTTATTTTAATAGGCATCCAAAGGTGTAGATCTTTTCTTATGTTTCTTACCTAAACTATTCTCACTGGAATCCAACCCTTTGATTATAACTGTACGATGTTGGGGTTTAACCAGGTAATCCAAAAAATGATTAGCTCATAATTTACTTAATTTTTATTATTATTTTATGATAACGTTTCGGAATATTTTATGTTGATTGTTTTGTCATCTAATTGAATTCTTAACTTGTATATTATTTAAATTAATTAAAAAAATGTTTCAATTTCTCTAACATCTAAAAATATTAAATTGCGATTTGTTTGAATTTTATTTATATAATAATACTTTGTGATAATAGAAATTATTATTTTACTTCATTTTTTTTATTAATCTGAATATTTAACTCGTTATACGAGCCGACTAATCCCAGGACGACTACCTGCTTTGTAGGTAGCCCGGAGTCACCATATGTGAACCTTCGTGACCACAAAAGGATTTCTATTTCTCCTTGGATTTAAATATGGGACCTCCAGACACTTTATCGACATAATATAAATTGGTTCCGGTCCTAAACATCTATTAATAAAAAAATTGTATAGAATGTAAAACATGAATTAAACAAGCCAAAATATTTAGGTTCTTCATTATTTCCTAAATGGTTAAAGTTGTTTTTGGAAATAAAATAAATAATTAAAAAAAATAAATAAATAATCGTTTGTTTTTAATATTATCTTCCATCGTTTTAATTTCATAAATAACAGATAACTACTAATATTGAGTAGACTTGGAATCATGTGAGACCAAGGGTTTTTCGTGAAGCCCGTAAGACCAATTCTCAACCCTTGGATTAGATCTACAATCTGAACATTCATAATCACAAAATTGCCACGAGACTTCTCAATAATCACAAAATTGTCACCGTGCAACTTTAGACCATTAGATCATTAGCTTATAAAGGTTGATCAATGAACATTCATAATCACAAAATTGCCACGAGACTTCTCAATACTCATTTGTTATATTTCTATTTAATTTTAGAGAGTTTTTACCAAATAGCGATCAGATGTTAGAAAACTATTTGGTGTAAGTTGAAGCTAAAAAACAACATATTTCAGAAGTATTCGAAATCTAAATTAAGGTAAGGATTGAACTCGATCTCGAACTCGAACTCACGTTTTAATTAATGGAGTAATCAGTATGGTGTGCATTAAATCCTTGAGCATTGAAGTTAAACAAGAAATGCAGGCCATAAGGATAGGGGTGTGCAGAAAGTTATCCGATCTAATTTAAAACGATCGATCATAATTGGATATTCAATATAATTAGATTAGATCAGATCCAAAATTTCAACATCCAAATCTGATCGGTCGGTTCTTGGATGGCAGTCTAACGTCCAATAAAACCGAACTGATCAAATCCAATTCTTTCTCTTCGGATATGTGAAGATGAATAAACTCCATATAAGTTGGATGACCCGAGCCTTCCCGCTGTCTTCCATATTCAATTCTCGGAAGAAGATTCTCAGAAGCGGATTCTACGCATCAGACTAACCAGAGTTCATGCTTTCCTATGTGAGACAAAGGAGGCACAAATTGACCAATGACCATCCAGTTATCATCCAACTGATATCCAATTAGTAGTTATATATAATTATTAACATTTTATGATATTGTTTTTTAGTTGATGCGTTGAAATAATTTAAGAAAATATATGACTAATTGGTTGAAATAGTGGACTAATTGGTTGAGAATTGGATCAAAGATTGGATAAATTCAATCTGATCTAATGGATAACCAATAGTAGCATCCAGTGGATAGAACCGATCTGATTCAATCATTCATTAAATTTGGATCGGACCGAGTGTTTGATGTTAATTGGATTGGATCGGATGACAAAATCACTATTCAATGGATGATTGGATCAGACTGGATTCACTTAAATCCATTGGATTTCAACCGATGAACACTCCTACTTAAGGCCATCAATTTGATTAGCAATGGTTGTTGTAGTGTTCATGATTCCATCGATGAGTTTATGTCTGATTAAGGCAGGCTGTTGTTTTAGCATGTAATGAAGTAGTAAAGCATGATACCAATAATGCAAAAAGCTACAAAGAGAAAAGAATTATGATGGCTTGGAAAATCCAAAATTTTGTGCACATCGACTCTCGATAGAGTGCAAACAACTTGCGAAGCCACATGGATAAAATCACAAAGATGGAGTGAAAACTTAGAGACTTGTAAGTGACTTGGGAAGTTGAAAAATTAAATCACGAAGGTTTCTTTATAACCCCCCCCCCCCCCCAATAAGATGCGTTTGAGGCAAGGTGTGGACAAAGCGAACAATATCTAGTACAATTAGCCTAACATGTTACAGATGTTACTAGAGCTGGGGACCGAACTATTGTGCTAGTGAGGACGCTGGGCTCACGAGGGGGTGGATTATAATATCCCACATTGGTCAAGGACGAGAACAAATGTTACAAGGTATTGGATACCTCCTATACCAGGCGTGCTTTATAAACCGTGAGTCCATGTGAGAACAGTAGACAATATCCAATATTGTTAGCTTGAGATGCTACAGATGGTATCAGAGTCAGGAACCGGACTGGTGTGCTAGTGAGGACACTGGACTCATTAATGAGGTGGATTTTTGAGATCTCATATCGATTGGGGAGGGGACCGAATACCTCCTCTATCAGAAATATTTAAAACCGTGAGTCCAGATATAGATAAAAATATCTAATATGGTTGACCTGAGATTTTACATAGTGATGTGTTTTCCACAAAAAAAGCTCGATTAAATCTTGTGAAATCACAATCATGAAACGGAACCAAATTAAATGAAAAATATCTGGGCCAGGCCTCAAATATCTTGCTGGGCTGGGCCTGCTTTGTAGGCCTCAAACATATTGGGTTAATGAGATAGGTCCATCATATCTCGTGGAAGTGCAGCATAGGCGGACACGTGTCACATGGGAACAGGTAACGCGTGGAAGTAAGTCGGTGATTATGGGTGTGCCTGAAGCTTCAACTGAAAAAAGAAAATCGAAAAAAAAAATGAAAATGTCGAGCTCAGTTGTAGCGTACAGCTTCCGCTATTTCCCCCCTTTAAAGCAGCGCGCTCTAGCGTACTTCTCCGTTCAACGTCGCCTCCGCCGCCGTCCTCTCCGGTCGCCGTGCACTGCTCTCGTGACAACTTCATTAAACGCCACTTCTTTCACGGGGAATTCTTTGTTTCGTAGGATGGAGGTAATTTTTTTAAGGATCAATTCTGTTTTGTGTTTCTGTGGATTTCTGTAAATTAGGTTCTTATTCATGTTGTATTTGATTTCTGTCTGTTATATTCCGTGGTTACTGCCGCATGACTTGAAATTGCGTTCAAATCATTCGAAATCCGCAAATTTACAGTTTACACGATTGATGGATTAATTTGCATGTTTTTAGCTGCTTAAGTTGCTGTGATTTGTTATTGATTTAGCTCTGGGTGGTATACGGAGTGTTTCTAGTGAATCATGTTTGGTATTTTTGTACATCATTTTGCATGATATTATCTAGTTTGGTGTAAATATGTATACTATCAATGTCCGAGCAAGCAATTTGTGGAATACGAGTAAAGGGTTTTTGGGCAATGGATAAACTTTTTGCCAAATTGAACTGGATACGTGAAGGATTAACATTTTAGAGCAAAGTAATGGGCTCTACCTGTCTTCCATGTGATATATCATATTGCTGTGGCCATAAAAGAGTACCGGTATTTGGGCAAAAAGTTGATTATTGGCCCCACACGGAACCCGCTTCAAGAACCCCAGTGTGAGGGGGCTTTTTTGTCTCGCTCAGCGACTGAGGCTATACGGGGGCGCCTGGATTGAACCTATGACCTGTCTTATATTTGGCCGAAGCCACCCCACTCCTTTGCCAACCGAGCTACATGCCACAGGCTAAAAACAGTTAAGAGTCCCACCCTTTTAATTTCACATGGTGTTTGATAAAAGAGTATTGTTATAACTAAATGATTCATGCCTACTAACCGGATGATTGGTGAAACCGAATTATGTCTGTTCCCTTTACTAGAACTGAAAAACCTTGAATATGACACATAATTTATTAAGTTTAAAACAGTGACCTGCAACCCGAGTCTGGTGGAGAAGCCAACATTTGGAATATGCAGTGTTAGATACTTCTTTGTGCTTTTTTGTTTTCTGAACGATCATGTTATTGATGCTCAGTAACAGGCAAACTTCAAGGCTGTCTGTTGGTCTTTCTGGAAGTTAAATAACAAGTTTAATTAACAATAGAATTGACGTTATTCAAGTAGTATAGTTGCTTGTCTGATCATTCAGCGTTTATACTAATTTTACTTTCAAGTTTTTGATTCTGATGATGATTGAAATGCTGATCCACCTTGCACTTCTTGGGTATGTTGTTCGCTGTTGGCTCACATATTTTGTTACTGTGGTTATTGGTTTACTTTATGGGGGCTAGCTGCATGTGGCAGGGAAATTTAACAATTATGTTCCGTCTTGCTACATGCAATTTTCGAAGTTTACCATTGAAAAGGAGGTCCAGAGATATGATTTATTTGCTACTAGGCATTGTACAAAGGCTGCATAGCTTCTTTTTATCAAACACCATGTGACATTAAAAAGCAGACCTATTATTTGATACTCTCAGGGAACAATCTTAACCAATGCTCAAGAACATTGAGAGAGGTGATCGTTGAGCTTTCATATCACTTTTATAAGATTTTGAGTTCATGATGAATGTGTAACCTTGTGTGAAAAGATTTTTATGTCATCATGTATTCATGTTTGATATTACTGGCTGACTTTCAATTTGGACAGGTAATGAAGTGGATAAGTGTTATCTTCAATTCAATATTGTTTTATGTTTGTATACAGAGATTCTGGGCCGGAAGTAGCATCGATAAGAATAAAGGCATGGTGGCACATTTGAAGGGTTACGGAGTCATTCAGTCAAATAAAGTGGCTGAAGTAATGGAGACTGTCGACAGGGCATTGTTTGTACCTGATGGGTCCCCAGCCTATGAGGATAGTCCCATGCAAATAGGTTTCAATGCCACCATTTCTGCACCTCACATGCATGCTACATGCCTTCAGTTGTTGGAGAAGAATTTACTGCCTGGGATGCATGCTTTAGATGTTGGTTCAGGTATTCTGTTATTTAATATATTTTTCTCTTCACTGGTTTGATAAACTAAACAATGGTATATTGCTCACCAAATTTGATATCTTATTCAAGAGGCCAAAGAGGCTTTAAATACACTGAAAAATAACAAACTGANTAAAGACTAGGTAAAAAGCTAAAGACTAGGTAAACACACGTGTCAAGCCCATCTACATAATCAGCCTTATTTTTTGAAATTCAAAAACTCCAACAAACCTTCCTCCAAACTAGACATTACAGTCTTGTTTGTCTTTCAATGAACATACTCCAAGCTTTTCCCTTAATTTCACAAACACATCTCGATGCAGTGGTTTAGTGAATATGTCTGCTATTTCCTCCTTAGTACCAACATGCTTCAATTTAACTGTTCCTTTTCCAACCAAATCACGAAGAAAATGGTACTTTACCCCAATGTGCTTGCATCTACCATGGAAGACTGGGTTCTTCGAGAGCTTAATAGTTGAGGTGTTATCACATTTGATCTCTGTGCCATCTCCTTGTTTCATTCCAAGTTCTTCAAGAATGCTTCGAACCCATATAACTTGACAGGCACAAGCTGCTGCTGCCACATATTCGGCTTCTGTGGAAGATAGAGCAACTATACTCTGTTTCTTTGATGACCATGTGATTGCAGCTCCATCCCACAACACCAAGTACCCGGATGTACTTTTCCGGTCATTCCAATCTCCTGCGAAATCACTGTCAGTAAACACCTCTATTCTGCCAATTCCTTCTCTTTTGTACCAGATGCCATAGTCTAAAGTTCCTTGAAGGTATCTTAACACCCTTTTTGCAGCAGCAAAATGACTCTCTGTTGGCTTAGATATGAACCGGCTGATGTAACTTACCACAAACTGGATATCCGGTCGTGTGGTAGTAATATACATCAGRMTTCCCACCAATMTTTTGAACAAAGTTTCATCTACCGGTTCACCTTCTTCAAATTTTAGTTTACAACCAGGAACAATTGGATTTACTACTGCATTGCAATCCAACATGTTGAAGCGAGTAAGAATTTCAACTGCATACTTCTGCTGTGACACATGAATTCCAGCTGGAGTTTGAAACACCTCTATTCCCAAGAAATATCTCATTTTTCCCAGATCTGTCATCTCAAATTCACCCTTCATGGAGCACTTGAATTCTTCCAGCATTTTTCCATCGTTGCCTGTATAAAAAAGGTCATCGACATATATGTTTACAAACAAAAACTTCCCATCTGATGTGTTTTTGATAAACAAGGTGTGTTCTGAGCTGCTTCTTGTAAAACCTTCCTTGACAAAGTACGCCTCAATTCGACTAAACCAAGCCCGGGGAGCTTGTTTAAGCCCGTATAAGGCCTTTTGGAGTTTGTACACCTTGTGCTCGTTGCCTTTAATTATGTATCCCTGTGGCTGTTGCACGTAAACATCCTCTTCCAATTTTCCATAAAGAAAGGCGGATTTAACATCCATTTGATAGATGTTCCATCCCCTTTGTGCAGCTAGAGCTATCATCAATCGAATTGTGTCCATCCGGGCAACTGGAGCATATACTTCAACATAATCGACTCCGAATTCTTGACCGTACCCCCTTGCAACCAGCCTCGCCTTGTGTTTCTCGACCTCTCCTTTTTCATTGAGTTTTGTTTTAAAAACCCATTTAACACCGATACATTTGGTACCCTGTGGCAGGTCTACCAATCTCTAGGTCTGATTTTTTTCGATTGCTTGAATTTCGAGATCCATAGCCTTCTTCCACTTCTCATCCTTGACTGCATCTTCATAGTACACAGGATCTTGATGGATCAAATCAGTGATGTTCACCTCGTCGTTGTCTGAATCTAACTCATGATCATCACCTGCAAAATAGTCACTTAGATAAGYAGGTCGTCTTCTTATCCTTTGTTGTCTTCCTTCCCCGATTACTGGACTGCTAGGATCGGAATCGGCAATAACAGGGCTGTAATCTTCAATGTGTTCATCTTGCTCGGCTTCGTCATCTTGATCAAAGTGATGCTCATTCACAAACTCATAATCATCAATAAAATCATAATCGCCCCATATGATTTCTTTTTCATCGTCAGCTTCTTTTGTCTGACTCCAGATCCAGGACTTATGCTCTTCAAAAACAACGTCTTTGCTTATAATAACTTTCAGTGTTTGTGGATCAATCAACCGATATGCCTTTGATTCTTCACACATTCCTGTCAAAATGCAAATAAAACTTCTATCATCAAGTTTAGTTCTTTTCTGTTTGGGTATGTGGACATGAGCGAGACCCCCAAACACGAAAGTGATGAACTGTTGGTTTTATCCCACTCCAAGCTTCTTGAGGAGTCATGTTCGTAAGGGCTTTGGTCGGACATCTATCCAAAACATAAAAACTCCATATCGTTGCCTCTCCCCAAAACTTCTTTGGCATGTTTTTGGCTGTTATCATCGACACAACCATGTTGATGACAGTCCGATTCTTTCGCTCAGCAACCCCGTTTTRCTGAGGTGAGAAACTGGTTGTGAGTTGTCTCTTGACCCCATGTTCTAAGCAATAGGCTTTAAAAGCATCRGATAGGTATTCTCCACCTCTATCTGTTCTRAGARCCTTAATGACCTTTCCTGTTTCAGTTTCAACCTTCTTTTTGAACTGTTTRAAACTTTCGAGAGCTTGAGACTTCTYTGTCAATAAATACACCCWACCCTTACGACTATAGTYATCAATGAAGCTTAAAAAATACMTGTTGCYAGCATGAGATGCCGGGGTTATTGGCCCACAKATATCAGAGTGTATTAGCTCCAAAATCTCTCCTGCTCTCCAATTGCTTGTCTTTGGAATCGCCTTTTTGGTCTGTTTTCCTATCATACAATCTCCACATACAGTTTTATTGATAAGAAAGTGAGGTAAATCACGAACCATGCCCTTTCCTTGCAGAATTTCCATGCTTGTGTTGCTGAGATGTCTCATCCGTTCATGCCATAGCTTAGCTTTATCTTCATCACTGGTATACATACACCTATCTGTTTTCTGCTCGGGGACAACATTGACCTCTTCACTAATTGGGAACATTCGATTTGTGCTCATATTACTCTGAAAAATCAGGCCTTTGTCTTGATGAAACACCTTACAGACATCCAAATGAAAGAGAAAAAACAGTCCCTTTTGTTGAAGCTGCCCTATGCTGAGAAGATTGTTCTTGAGGTCTGGTACATAGTACACATCACTGATAACATATGTTGTTCCATTTAGGAATAACTTCACACTTCCTTTTCCAGCCACCATCATACGTGTGTTATTTCCCAATTTAACATAATTTGAAAAACCTGAGTCAAGATCAACGAACCTGTCTTTGTTTCTGCACATGTGGTTAGAACAACCCGAATCCAAAAACCACATCATGCCTTTGTTTTTGTCACTCGTATCTACCATGAGTGTAGTGTCCTCCATGTTTATCTCAGCCATGAGCATAACTTCCTCATTTGCATCAAAACCAGCGTAGTTTGCCTCCTTGGAATGAGGACATTCATAAGAATAATGTCCCAATTTGTGGCAATTATAGCATTCTATCGTTTCTTTATTGAAGGACAGTCGTCCTCTTCCTCTACTGTTGAATCGGCCTCTCCCTCGTCCACGACCATTCGGACCGAGACCGGTTTTTGCCTTCAATGCTTGATCATCTTCCTTTTCAACTTTCTTGAATTTCTGTTCATGAACCAGCAAGGTACTTTGCAGCTCCTCAATGGACATCTCGTCAACATTCTTTGACTCTTCAATCGAAACCACGACATACATATATTTGTCGGCCAGAGTTCTGAGGATCTTTTCGACAATTTTGACATCAGGTATCAATTCCCCGTTGCTCCTTATTTGATTTGAAATTGTCAAAACCCTACCAAAGTATTCAGAGATGGTTTCGTTGGCCTTCATTTCGACGACTTTGAAGTCCCTTCGGAGCTTCTGCAACATAGACCGTTTCACTCGTTCATTGCCTGCGAATCTTTGCTTCATGGAGTCCCACACCGCCTTGGAAGTCTTTCTATCCATGATCTGCTCGAAGGTGACTCGATCGATTGCTTGATACAAGTAATGCTTGACTTGTAAATCTTTTATGCGCAATTCCTCCAATTTCTTCTTCTCAGCATCGCTTTGAGCAATTCCAACTGCCGGCTCTCTAATTCCTGGATCGATTAGGTTCCACACCTGTTTTGCACGCAGCAAATTCTCCATCATCTCACTCCAGTGCTCATAGTGGCCGTCGAAGACTGGTACCTTTATCTTATCGTCATTCATCATTGCTATTCTCTCTTTTGTGATCGAAATTCGCTCTGATACCAATTGATAAACTAAACAATGGTATATTGCTCACCAAATTTGATATCTTATTCAAGAGGCCAAAGAGGCTTTAAATACACTGAAAAATAACAAACTGA